GCTCCCTTGCGTCGTCTTGCCGGCGTCCGAACGGCTTCGTTCCCCGCGAGCGTCTCCTCTTCTTTTTTTTTCAATGGGCGCGCTGCAATGCCTCTTCATTCTTCTCATCTTCTAAATGATGTGGTGCTGTCGTCTGCTAGGCTCGCATTTTTAAGGTACCACATCACAAGTACAAAATGCATACTTTTTTTTCTTTCTCCGCCGCACTGGTATAGTGGCAGAGGTACACAGCTGCTGACTCACAGGCCGCGAGGACAAATCGTGGCTGCGGCGGCTGCACTTTCGATGGTGGTGAAAATGCTGTAGGCCCGTGTGCTCAGATTTGAGTGCACGTTGAAGAACCCCTGGTGGTAGAAATTTCCGGAGCCTTCCACTGCGGCGTCTCTCATAATAATATCGTGGTTTTGGGACGCTAAACCCCACATATTATTATCATCAAGCTGCAAACTTTTTTAAAGCTCTGAACTTGCGCAGATGAGCCAGCAAGAAAATCTGGTCCAGACTTAGTTTGATTGCTGTTGAAGAGTGTCGTGACACGTGCATAACTTAGTCGAGTGCTTGCGAGGGTTGATTTGCGCGAACGCGCTGTGCCGGATAGTTGGCTTCACATAATCTATGACGGGTAATGCTAACGACGTGAGCAGCACCCACTGCGCAACTCGCGCAGCTGCGCCAAATTTTATCGTTACGTATTTTTGCAGCACCTATACAAGAGTCTTCCCCATTAGCTGGGACAAATTGCATCCAAAGCGAGTATCTTTGTCATTGAAAAATTGACTTGGACAATGACCAACCCTAATGCCAGTCACGCTGAACTTAACGAGAACTGCAGCGTCCACCGAGCACATGGGTGGTTGCTATATAATTCATGCAACGTGAAACACCATCTAACGCGCTTTCAATTATTCTTGCTAATGTATTGATCCTTCACGATTATCAACAGAGATAAACTAGTTACCCTTTTCCTTGAGTTTTCAAGCAATTCAATATTTCCGCGCATAACAGCTGCTTGAGCGTGGTTCGCTCACGTTTCGCCGTCTTTAACGTGGAGCTTACGGTTGCAGTAATGCTACATGGACCGGAAGTCGATTATGTGCCGCGCTCATAGTATGGCGGAAGTGGAGAGTTTGGCACCTCAGCAGGTTCTATAATTGATTGATTGCTATGTGGAGTTGAACATCCCAAAACCACCATATGATGAAGAGAGACGCCGTAGAGAAGGGCTCCGGAAATTTCGGCCACGTGGGGTTCTTAAACGTGCACCCAAATCTGAGCACACGGGCAGGTTCTATAAACTTTGGCTGAAAATGTGTTGCCGTCCAAGAAATGACAAAAAAAGAAAGCATTATTGCAAGGTGAACAAGAGCTATATTTTACCTGCAGTATCCCACAACTGTTTCAGTTTCATAATAAAGAACGCAATATTGATGTGGGCAAGGAAATAGAAAAATATAATGATGAACTTCAGTACTATCTTTTTTTTTTGCGCGGCAGCAGGCATGTGTTTGGTCTGCAACTTCAAGTTGTCAAGGAAGGTTGTCGCCGCATGAAGTGCCTACGTATGTCTTATCGCTAAAAATTAGGTACATTGGGTTCTGGCCAGATATTTAAAATGCCAATTTTCAATGAATCCTGTTCAGCCAATGTCTTTTTAATACGAAATGTTTACTTTGAAGTTCATGACGTCACGAGCGTAATTTTTTACGCAAAATTTAAAAATTAAACCTTGTCCTTCATTTTCTGCTTATGAGTATGTCTGTTAGCATGAAACCAACAAGATTAGTGTTTTAAAAGTAGGATTTTTTCATCCAAGCGAATTCATCGTTTAACTTCAGTGTCGATTTACGGCGAATATTTCGTGCTGTATATGTAAAGTGTCGTCCACTTTAAGGGTGAACACTGCTCCTAGCGGGAACATGTCGACTCTACGGTGAACATGGACGCGCTCCGTAGCGCCAGTGCATTCGGCGCACTCGCACATGGAATCGAAGCGGTGCCGGCGCACATGAACGATGTACTACGAAGCCCAGCAATATTGGTACCACGGTCATGGTGGCTACTAAGGTGCGGTGCGCTCCAGTGCTGTGGCAGACGACACAAAGTATGTCTCCTGACCCTGTGCGCATGCGCAGCTACGCTTCTATGCGTTGCAGCGGTCTCTGCGTTGAAGAGAACGCAGCTGAGATGAGTCGCGTTCACCGTATCTTCATAGACTAAGAAAGAAGGACACGGAGAAGGGAAAGGCAGGGATCTTAACGAGTTTGGCATAACCCGTGCAAGGAAAAAAATGTAGGAGATTAAAAATAGAGAGAAAAGAAGAGAGGTATGCGCACATTCACACAGACAACGGCATGAAGCAGAGCGGCAGTCTCGTGCGGCATACGGCATCGTTACAAGTCTACAGCCGCTCATCAAAGCATGTTGTTCGTGAGAATTTTAGCAATGCCTCGGTTGCATGAATTAACAAGGCCTTCTCGGGATGACATTGGATGATAGTTTGGATAGTTAGTTGCGACATCGGTCTGGAAGACCAGCAAGACTGTCCTCACTACGCTGGGCAGATGCCAATCATAGTGAGGGCAGTCGCTGTCCAGGTTTTTACACATATAGCGTAAAAAGTGACTGTGGTGAAGTTTTGTGCGCTTTTAGCTTGGACTTGAAGCACTGAAGCTACCTAAATTTGTCAAGTTGGTTTAGCCAATGAGAAAGAATCACAGCATAGAACACTAACAACTTCAGACAAAGAGTGAACTTCGTTTGGTCTGGAAAAGTGACCCGGTGAGGTCTGGGCACTGTCGTATTGGCATTTAATCACGGAATCCTGCAATGGCAGTCAACGTTAGAAGATGTAAAAAAATACGGGAATAATGATGGGCCATATCCGTAACTGTTACAAGGGTGTGAAGAGTGAATTGAAAAGACGTTTACTTTCGATTTGGTGTAGAATGGAATAAGAATCATTTTGGTTAGTTTACGAATATTTGAAAATGTCAATTACACTGAAGTAAACATAGCATTTGCGCAAAAGTACAGTAATTTTTATGTACAAGAGGACAGCTCCGGTGCATTTTCGACCATACTAAGATAATGCCCTTTTCAAATAGTAATGACAGTCTTGGAACAGTGCTCAGACACCCATGAGTTTATGTAAGTACGCAATGAACGATAAGTTTGAAGAAAAACTGAAAGAGAGAGCTGTTCCATTCTTCGTCGTAGGAGGACGTCATGAAATCGGTGTCCGATGACATCTCAAAATCCGCAACACTCCGTCACGGCTAGCCATGCGTAACAATAGCTCAAGTGCCTCATCTGACGCGCGAAAACGAAGTTGGTGATGACATTCGACGCAGAATCAAGCTGTGCCAGCTCGTCTGAACTGACCACTGACACGTTGAGCGATGATAGCAGCTACTATCTGAGCGCGGAAACATCGTCTTTTGATTTCGACCAGCCGGCGCGTGAGCCTTCTGACGTGCCCTAAATAGGTCACCTCGTCACGCAATATTGTGCATGTAAAGTATGACGTCAACGTTGAAAAACGCACTGTATGCTGCTGAAAAAAATGGCAGATTCCACGTAGAGTGGGAATAGACGATATGCGAAGCACGAATGAGAAAGGTTGCATGTCACTTTAAAATCAGCACAACGTTAGGAGGTGGAGATCAATTGTGCCATACATGACTTCTATGTCATATTTATCATATTTAGACGTGTTATTTACATTCGTCGTCTACCCACGTCATCTCGTACTAAATTTTGTATATGTAGAGCTAGCGAAAAGGCCGCGAGCGGGCTATGAGCGTAGCGTGTTGTCATGTTTTACATCACATGCATATCATGATTATCATGTTTGGACCTGTCATTTACCTTAGTCATCTATTCACGTCACGTGATACCAAATTTGGTATATGGTGAGCTAGCTAAACGGCCACGAGCGCATCATGAGCGTGGTATATTGTCATGTTCCTATATGACAAGCGTGTCATGCTTATCATGCTTGCACCAGTCATGTACTTTAGCCATTCATTGACGCCCCGTAACACCAAATTAGGTATATGTGGAGCTTGCGAAACAGCCGCGTGCACATCATGAAGGGCCCAATATACTCCGACGTAACGTTGACGAGCGCTCAAGTTTTGCACAGTGACGGTACGCTCGCAAAACGCGAGCACACTATAGTCTGACGCCAGGCGCGACCGGCGCGACCAGCGTCCATCGGCGTGGCCCAGCGGCAACCGGCGCGAAATGCAACATGCTGCATTTCACGCCGATGTCGCTACGCAGCTCTACCCAGACAGCACTGGGTCTGCTCTCTTCGTGATGGAGGGACGCCGTGCGCACTCTAACGTGCATGCGTCAAAGCAACGCAGCCCGTCGCGTGCCTGCGAGTATATGGCTAGATAGATAGATATATAGATAGATATATAGAAGATAGATAGATAGATAGATAGATAGATAGATAGATAGATAGATACGCTTAATGTCGCCAAAGTTTGCCAAGAAATGCTTTCGCATTTAAAAACTGAATTTGTGCTCATGTCGTAGTCGCCTCGTAGAAGAAAGCGCATGCGCTGCACCCGTCTGGTGGGCCAGGCACAGTTTCCAAAAAGAGTAGGCACTTAGGTCACATACACAGGGTGGGCCATGTTTACAAGCGTGACACCGGAATTGGCTACCAATCTTTAGAATCAGTTTAAAAAAACTAAATGACCTATCATTATACCTTTTGGCGCATACTACCACTGTATTGACGAGAACACGTGTGCAAGGTTTAATTGAACTTGGTGAATATCGAAAAATCACCAGACTTCCTTTTTAAGCGTTTTGAATACTAGGAGAGAAAAATTACTTCGTAACTATTTAATATCGCTTTGTTCTAAAGGTGTTCGAAAATTATTCACTATTCGATACGATTTTGCTCCGTCTCTTGGAAATGCTATTCGTGCTTAATTCAGTCATGAATTTCGCTCAACCCGAATTGCATGCTGTTACAGATGACGTGCCTTGGTACTTGCGTTACACTTGTTATGTCCGCATCGCAGCTCATACACATCGGTAGCTGGTGGGCAACGTGGAGCGCATTGCCATGTTTCGACTTAATCATCACGTGCGCATTCTGCGTCGAGACCGTAAGTGATCTTCTACGAATTCCTATATGGTGCATTCAGACGACGGACCGAATCCGGATTTGTCGTGGACGCGGACAGCTAATCCGCGGATGGTCCGCCTGCAGGCGCATCCACACGACGGACGGTGTCCTAGGGGAAAACAGCCGGATTACCCTCGACAGCAGATTCGGCGCTCACCTGCGCCCGCTGGCAGCAGACCGGTTTGAGGGTATTCAACATGGATGCCCGCGAGAAGCGAAGCTTGGCTGCGATGTCTGTCGTGTTGTGACAAATGAACGAGTAGTGTTATTCTTTCAGGAGAAAAGGGGAGTTGCTAGCAGGATATTCTTTCAACTACATTATTCCCCACTTGTAGAACTTCTAAATGTGTCTCCCGCCTTTTTTTTTTTAGAAGCGGCACGTCGCCGGTTGCAGAAGTTGGAATATTTCACCACCATGACGGCTAAGAATCTCGCGTGTTAAGCGACGGCGGCGACATTTCCCAAACCACCAAAAGTGATTTCTGCATATTTAATCACCCGAGAACAAAGTCTTCGGAAACTAAGTAAACAATGCTCAAGCGTAGATGATGCCGACCAGTCATGCAGTTGTCCGCGAGCCATGGAGGACATGCCGCGAGCAGACGAAAAGTGTACTGGTTGCCACCGACCCCAAGCTATTCCGCTGAAGTACCGGCTCTCCCCCGCCAGAATCCCGATGTGAGAAACAGGTTGGGTTCATCCGTCCTCGAGCCGCGCGGACGAGTCGCGGACGAGGGGAATCGCTGATGTGAGGTCACGTGACGCGCCGTCCGTCCCGCCACATCGGGATTCGGTCCGTCGTCTGAATGCACCAATAGTGACCGTCATCGTGCATGATGTTACAACAACGAACCATGCTAACGCGATTTGCTCACTTCTTTTATTTTTGGTCAAACCGCGTCAGTGCTGACAATACTCGGTTATGATCGATCCGTAAAGGGCCAGTGAACAACACTGAGGGCTCAAAATTATTATCAAAAAAAGTATGTGCACTATTGCTTCGTAAACATGCTGCCGCAAGAAATTAGCAAATACGTGCTATAAGAAAGAAGTGACAGGGGTTAGAACATCGATTTTAGCAGTTTTCAGATTTTCGCGCCGCCTCGCCATCCTTCTCCCACACAGAAAGAAGAACGCGTAGCCCGTTGTCGTGACTGGTTTACGCCAATGGACGAGCTGCGTCCTACGTCAAGTCGTCGTTCGGTAACTTTGCGTCACTGCGCATGAAAGGAGAATTGGTCAGGCGTAGGAAAGCAGTGCGGCAATGCCTTTGAATGCGAACCATTTCTTCGCGCTCTGTAAGCACTTTGAGTATCTATCTATCTATCTATCTATCTATCTATCTATCTATCTATCTATCTATCTATCTATCTATCTATCTATCTATCTATCTATCTATCTATCTATCTATCTATCTATCTATCTATCTATCTATCTATCTATCTATCTATCTATCTATCTATCTATCTATCTATCTATCTATCTATCTATCTATCTATCTATCTATCTATCTATCTATCTATCTATCTATCTATCTATCTATCTATCTATCTATCTATCTATCTATCTATCTATCTATCTATCTATCTATCTATCTATCTATCTATCTATCTATCTATCTATCTATCTATCTATCTATCTATCTATCTATCATCCTGACATCACCAATCATGCCCCAAATACTGGAAACACCGGGAGAGATTAACGCGCTCGTTCTAAGCATTTTCAGACGCTGTTTTACCGCCGTTTATTATTGATTTGGTCTTTTTAAAGATAGTGAATGAAAAATTGAGTGCATTAACGAAAGATTGAGAAGAACGGGAAGCTTGCATTCTTGTTACAGGTATTTATCGGTCTGGTGTTCATTACTCGGCGGTCGCGCAGGCAAGGTGCGCCAGCAATTGCCTGCACTGTACATGGAATCGTCGCGATCGCCCTTGTAGGTGACCTACTTGACTGCACCACCGCGGAACGCATGGAACAGGTACGTGCAGAAAGTTAATACAACTCTTGGTATTGCACTCAAAACCACCATGTGACTGTGAGTGTAGGGCTCAGGAAACTTTTACCATCTGTGTTGGGCTGTACGTGTTCATGCGAAAAAGACCAGGCAAATTTCCAAGGGAGAGTGACGTATATTGCCACATCTACGTATACGTATGTTGCATGGGCTGGTCTCGATAAGCCACGGGCGGGTTGCGGCGCATGCTTTTTATGTTTTTTCTCGTTGACGCATTCCTTCACAATAATGAATGCCTCATCTAGATCGTTGCCTGAGCACAGTTTTCGCGCTCAAGTGGGGCTCGTCCAGCGCAGAAGTAGCACGTTTTAACGTGAGTGCCTGCAGCATCAAGCAGCCACTGCCCTAGGTTTGTCAAGCGGCTGATCACAAGGCTATAACTGTACCATGCAATATGGCTGCGTATTTGTTGTTGTGTAGCTCATGTTTTGTGATGAGATAACGTATTTTGTGATGAGATAACGTAGAAATATTTCAACTGTTTATATCCCATTTTCAGCACATAGTGTACAGCGTGGCAGCAATGCTAACTACGACGTATTTCGTATTACAGAGTCCCATGTGACCAAGTGACATGTGACGCGTTGCCACTTGGTAACTATCAAAATAATGCAATGTTTGTTTTAAAGCAGAACGATTGATAAGGTCCCTACCTAGGAGAACTGAAAAAAAGTATAAATGACCTTTCTAAGAAAAAAAAACATTTTTATACTTCGGTGTTCTTGGTGGACCCCTAAAGTTTCCTCAGAATAATGAAGCAAAGAGATTAATTGATTGATATGTGGGGTTTAACGTCCCAAATCTACCATATGATTATGAGAGACGCCGTAGTGAAGGGCTCCAAAAATTTCGACCACCTGGAGTTCTTTAACGTGCACCCATGAAGCAAATAAAAGCGTGATAAAACCACGAGAGTTGTTTAAATAAAAGCAAAAATATCAAAGTTAATATGTACTGAGTTTCGTGACCCCCAGTTTAAATTGTTTGTAGCAATAAATTTCTGAAAAACTGCTATTTTGTGCGGTTTGTCATGTTTGTGATTGTTTTCTCTAAAGCTTTCCAATGTGTAAAAAGAATAATCGACTGATTTTTTCTTTGCTGAGAATAAGTATTGCGATAAAGAAAAATAAAAAGCTCACTGTATTTTAGTTATATGAGCTCCAACATAAAAGGAAAAAAACACAATATCGATGAAAAAATTCTTTTCGTTGGCAAAATGTATGCTATATTTTCAGGTGACCATTTTTTTTCCCACAAACCACAAACTTTTGAGGCTCTAATGCCTAGGCCTAGGATAAACTTCATCAAAATATAAAATGGGGACAAAGAACTCAAGTTAGAACTTATCTGGACACACCCAGGGATGCTTTGCACGGTTCACAACATTGTTATTCACCACTTACCCAAGCCTTGACACGTTGCTCAAGGAGTGACTTGATGGACGGTCACCAAACGTAGCTGTGTGCCAGTCGCTTGCTGTGCACGATGCCAGAGTGCTCTTCGTGTAGTTCGTCATGCAGCAAATTAACTGACTGATTGAGTGATACGTGGGGCTTAACGTCCCAAAACCACCATATGATTATGAGAGACGCCGTAGTAGAGGATTCCTCAAATTTGGACCACCTGGGGTTTTTTTATGTGCACCCAAATCTGAGCACATGGGCCTACAGCATTTCCGCGTCCATCGTAAATGCAGCCACCGCAGCCGGGATTCAACCCCGCGACCTGCGGGTCAGCAGCCGAGTACCTTAGCCACCAGACCACTGCGGTGGGGCATGCAGCAAGTTGCTCACCTTTGCAAGCGCAATCATGATTATTCAGAAAGCGATGCAGTTTTAGTGAAATGTGAGCTCATAGCGTCAGCCAGGAACAAAAAAACAGCTTTATATCTTTGTCAGTCGGAGACGACGGCCGCCTCCAACTTGAGCAATCTATCATTTTACAAACCAAGGAGTCTCGAGCTGTTCGCGCATTGTGTCTTGGTGTGAAAGTGGCATTGACTGCAACCACAGTATGGCATCATCATCATAATCATCATCATAATAATCATTAATATTATTATTATCATCATTATCACCATAATCATCGTCATCGCCAGCTTGAATATGTCCACTGCAGGGCAAGGGCCTGTCCCATGTTCAACCAGTTAACTCGGTCCTGTGATTGCTGCTGCCAATATATAGCCGCAAACCTCTTAATCTCATCTGTCCACATAACCTTCTGTCTCCCCCTAACCCTCTTCCCTTCTCTGGTAATCCAGTTAGTTACTCTTAATGACTACCGGTTATCCTGTCTGCGCGCTACATGCCCGGCCCATGCCCATTTCCTCTTCTTAATTTCAACTATGATATCCGTAACCCCCGTTTGTTCCCTAATCACCTCTCCCTCTTCTTGTCTCTTAAGGTCACACCTACCATTTTTCTTTCCACTGCTCGCTGCGTCGTCCTCAATTTAAGCTGAACCCCCTTTGTAAGTCTCCAGGTTTCTGCTCCGTAGCTAAGTACTGGCAAGATACAGCTGTTATATACTTTCCTCTTAAGGCATAGTGATAATCTACTTGTCCTAATTTGAGAGTGCTTGCCAAGTGTTCTCCCACCAAGTCTTATTCTTCTAGTTACTTCAATTCCGTGGTTTGGTTCCGCAGTTATTACCTGCCCTAAGTAGACATAGTCTTTTACAACTTGATGTGCACTATTACCTATTTCGAAGCGCTGCTCCATTCCAAGGTTGTTGTACATTACTTTCGTCTTCTGCAGATTAACTTTAAGATCTACTTTTCTGCTCTCTTTGTCTAACTTCATAATCATGAGTTGCAATTCGTCCCCTGAGTTACTTAGCAACGCAATGTCGTCGGCTAAGCGCAGGTTACTAAGGTACTCTTCAATAACTCTTACCCCTAGCTGTTCCCATTCTAGGCCTCTGAAAACCTCCTGTAAGCACGCGATAAATAGCAATAGAAAAATTGTGTCCCCCTGCCTTATGCCCTTGTTGATTGGTATTATGTTGCTTTCTTTATGAAGTAGCAGTAGATACTCTGTAGATTTCTTCCAAGGATGTTTATATATGCTTCATCAACGCTCTGATTCCGCAGTGTTTGCATGACTGCTGTTATTTCTACTGAATCAAACGCCTTATAGTAATCAATGAAGGCTATGTATAATGGTTGGCAGTATTTTGAGCATTTCTCTATTACCTGATTGATTGTATGAATGTGGTCAATTGTTGAGTAGCCTGTTCGAAATCCTGCTAGTTGCTTTGGTTGATTGAATTCTAATGTTTCCTTAACTCTGTTAGCAATTACCTTTGTAAATAACTTGTATACCTCGGAGAGCAAGCTGATCGCCGTGTAATTCTTCAAGTACTTGTCATCCCCTTTCTTATGCATTAAGATGATGTTAGCATTCTTCCAAGACTCCGGTACTCTTCCCGTCAGGAGACACCCCGTAAACTGGTTGGCTAGTTTTTCTAACACAATCTGTCCTCCATCTTTCAGCAGATCTGATGTTACCTGATCCTCACCAGCAGCTTTGTCTCTTTGCATGCTCTCCAAGGCTTTTCTGACTTCTTCTATCATTACTGGTGGGTTGTCATCTGGGTTACTGCTAGTTCTTATAGTATTATGGTCGTGGGAGTCGCGGCTACTGTACAAATCTCTGTAAAACTCTTCCGCTATTTTAACTATCCTATCCATATTGGTAGTTATTTTGCCTTCTTTGTCCCTTAGTGCATACATCCGATTTTTGCCAATCTCAAGTTTCCTCTTCACTGCTTTGACGCTTCGTCCGTTTTTCAGAGCGTGTTCAGTTCTCTGCGTGTTATATCTTCTTACATCAGATACCTTACGCTTATTAATCAACCCCGAAAGCTCTGCCAGTTCTATCTTGCCTGTTTTACTTGAGACTTTCATGCTTTGACGCTTTTTATTGACATTTTTCGTTTCCTGGGAAAACTTGCCAGTGTCCTCTATAACTACCTTGCCTCCAACTTCCACTGCACACTCCTTATTGATACTCACCAGATGATCATTCATTGTGTCTACGCTAAGGTTGGTTGCCTCAATAACAGCCGAGCACCCGTTCTGAAGCGAGACTCTGAATTCCTGGACTTTCCCTCTCAGTGCTAGCTCATTGATGGGCTTCTTGCGTATCAGTTTCTGCTATTACTTCTTGAAGTCTAGGCGAATTCTAGACCGTACCATTATATGGCCACTGCATCGTACCTTGGCAAGGTGCATCGTACCACTGCATCGTACCTTGGCAAGGTACTGCATCGTACCTTGCCAACCACTTCCACATCCTGCAAGATGCCTGGGTGTGCACTTATTGTAAAGTCTATTTCGTTCTTATTTTCGACATTAGGGCTCCTCCATGTCCACTTACGTTTTCCTCGTTTTTGGTAAAAGGTATTCGAAATCCATAAATAATTGCGTTCTGCGAATTCTACTAGTAGCTCTCCTCTGGCACTTCTAGTACCGATGCCATGGCATGGTATGTTATGGTAAACTTTATTCAGGCCCTGAAAATCAGCGCTTAGGTTGACGCCGGCGACTGCCGCATTCGGACAGTAAGGTTAAACCTTACTGCCATATCGTGGGCCTTCTGGACAGCCTGAACCTGAACCAAAAGGTTTCCTCTGTGAAGGGGTCTTTACCACCAATCTCTTTCTTTGTCACAGTCTGCGAAAGCCACAGTACACTGCCAAAGCGTATGGTTCAGAATAATGACGCCAGTACACGTAGCTCTAGCGCATGTACGTAGCTAGCGCATCAATGGTGAAACACTCTGCGTACACAAGACGACGTACAGGACTGGCTTGCCCGCTGTGCGTGCTGTGTGACGTCTTGATAGGTGCCAATACACTCGCAAATAGTCACGTCTTGTCTCATTTTACGTGACACATATGGGGTGGAGGGCCTGGTTCTTCCTTGTATTCATCTCGAAGCTCTGCAATTGCCGTATCGTCAC